TAGATCACGTTATCTTTGTAACGTCCATGTTATTATATCTCAAGTACAGTACTAACAAAGCGAAGCATATGGTACTTGTCGAATGGTACTTGTTGAATATGGTACTTATGAAGGGTCTTAACTTTGCGTTATATGGATTAATTTATGATGTGTCTTGTAGGACTTTCTCTTGGATAGCAATTTGTTGCTACTACTCAGTGTTAATTAACACTGAGTTTTTAACACACCGCAGGCAGCCTTGTTATAAACTGTAAACAAGTTCAGGCTGCATCGATCAGTTCTGAAGTGGCTTTTGAAAGATGATGTACATGTATCATCTAAAAGGTGGTTGCGCTCCCAAGATTTTTTCCAATCGTTAATTGGAGCTTCCTGAATCGTTAATTGGAGCTTCCTGAAATGCAAATTAATCGAAATGGTTTTGGTTTTACTCATTAGCCAAAATGAAAGCATAATTAATATATTTTATGAACAGAGTCTGCGCTACAAGGTACTACAGAATGAACATGAACAAGGTACCTGAATCTGCTCCCCTCCATCCCCCCCAAAAAGTATACTGGTAATGTTTTTAAAAAAAAATTGATTTATTTATGTACATAATCGTAATTCTTGATTTACAAAATTATACATGTTGGCGATTCCATGCAAACGATGTGTCTTTCATGCTTTTATTCATCCCAAAATGAAAATTTCTTGGTATGACCATTTATCAAATAATGGTTCTTTCTGTTGATATTACTAACATTGAATAGTCATGTCAAGAGATGATTCATTTTTGGATGAAATAAATGGATAAATGTCATATGAAGTATATATGGAACACATGGCTTTGAATCGCCCAAGTAGGAAGACACCCTTTAATACTAACAGTGCAGGAGCAAAGTAGCAACACAACCTGTGAAAACTCTTTTTATTCTTTCAAATTATAAAGAAGGAAATGTTTACAATACTTTTCAAGAATACAAGTCTATGTTAATGTCGTAACATGTTCTATCAGGAAATCACAACGGATTAGACAAGGTTAATAGCAGAAGTGACCTTTTGATAAATGTTCATTGTTAAGTACTTAATGAGGCATCCTGATTCAGAGTATACTTGTACAGCAGTACTATTATGAGGTTATTAAAAAAACAATTTGCTCAGCATGTTTCTGCGGTTTCTGTTGGGGGTATAATGCAGTTTCAGTTTCCTTTTCTTGGCCTAATACCTTTTAACAATAATTACCACGAACAGTTGTGAAAAGCTGGTTGCATATATTCGGGTGAAAGATAATCAATTCAATTCAATTCAATTCATTTATTTCAATCATAAAACCATAAAATAATATATAAAAAAGTAACATGAAACAATCATCATCTTACAATTCTGGAATTAAGAAATTGGAGACTAAAAAGGAAGTTTGAAAAATCAAGAAATGAAACTATAATAATTTCCCTGAATTTTCTTAAAAAGATACAACAAAAACTGCAGAAGTACAAAGTGAAAAAGAAAGAGTAATAAGAAATGTTTTCCAGAGAAACAGGCTTTAAATAAATCTGATTTATAAAATTTTATTTGAGAAGTTGTACAACACAGACAAGTGATTAGTGCACTGCCTGGACTGTTTCCACGTTGCGCCCAATACACCCTCAACACTTAAACAGAGACAGTTCTTATTTTGGGGGATTAATTGCACGATTAGTGGAGACAATACTCTCTGTGCGGGATGCACGTATTAAGGGAGGGGAAGAAAAATGATTGAAGAAAAAAGATATTTAAAAACGGACAGAATCTGGACTCGCATATTACAAGCCTAATGTCCAAGTTATCTTTCTCAGTTTGCTGCATTTTCTGTCATATTTGGTTTCAAATATTACACAGTGAAACCTTTACGGTATATAAAATACTACTAGAGGAAGATGGGACAAGCGATCTTTATGAGCAGGTGGTCTTTACATGTACATGTTCAATACAGGATTCAATGAAAAACTGCCTAAACGAAGCAAAAAATGTAGTCATCATGATACAGGTGGTCCCTAACTCGCCAAAGTAGGCTGACTGTTTTCAAAGTCTTGAAGTTGTCTGTTACTGTTGGTTTAATTCGGTGAAATTTTATTTCCTGTCTTTACCAGAGCTCACAATTTACATTTAAAGAGTGATTCCACTCCATTAAGAGGCAAATGATATGCTTTGTGAAAGGTTAATCGTGTGTAGCCAACATTCTGAAGCCAAGACCATTCATTATTCCAGGTGGCGCCCGCTTACCGGTAGTTGCAGTAAGCGCAGAGTACCGGTATTATCGATGTACAAGAGACATTAGCCTGATTATGGAGCTTATGAATGCATTGCTTTGGAAAATGTGTGAAGTTAATTGTCTGTAACTAAACGGCAAATTATAATAATTTGATTGAGCTGTGATTTAAGGGCAATCGATCTGGACATCTTTGTATGACCAGGATGCTGGAGCTCTTCATACTTGAACCAGAATTTTATTTTATATTCCTTTTATATATCATTTATCATTTCTGTCTGTCTGATAGTCAGAAAAGGTGGCCGTATCATTTTGAAAATGCAACAACAGACATAATTATGCAAATTGCAGCCTTTTATTCAAATAAGGAAATAGTTCTTGTTAAAATATGTACTTTTAAAAAGCCTAAATGTATACAAATTATCAGCCGTTTATTCAAATGAGGAAATACTTCTTAAGAAAATATGTACACTTTTTACAACTAACTGTATGCAAATTATAAGCCTTTTATTCAACTTGGAAAATAGTTCTTGTGAAAATATATACACTTTTTAGAAATAGCTGTACGGGTATGCAAATTATCAGCCTTTTATTCAAATACGGGGTAAGGAAATAGTTCTTGTGAAAATATGTATACTTTTTAGAAATTGCTGTATGCAAATTATCAGTCTGTTATTCAAATAAGGAAATAGTTCTTGTGAAAATATGTACCGGTACACTTTTTTAGAAATAGCTGTATGCAAATTATCAGCCTTTTATTCAAATAAGGAAATAGTTCTTATGAAAACATATTCTTAGAACTAAGTCTATGTGCTATTTTTTTGTGGTATTCATGGTTCCAGCTCGTAATGTGGCACTCAAAAACAGGGGATGTTATTTCAGTTGAGGTAGTTTTGAGGGGAGTAAAGTGTTCTCGGATATGATACAACTTCCTTTGTTGATGTACCATGTTACTGACAGATTGGTGGTCCAAGCATTTAAGGTTAAAGGAGACACATTACCCCGAAAAATATTTTGCCATTTAAATGTTTGTTGGCATATATACAGTTAACAATTATTCATACCGCTTGGAAGTTTGATGTTTTTGTGTTTTTCTTAACTCACCAAATAAATATGGACCGGTTGAATATCAAAGGGCCTTTGTTAAATACTTTTAGATGTAATCTTTGATATGACACATTCTCAAGAAACATAAATAGGGATATATTAATTTTTCACATATTTAAAATATTTGTAATTTACCGAACACATGTACAAGATACATTCACATTTTGACAACATATTTGCAAATTTATCTAGGTCCTACAAAAAAGAAGCTTTTAAACCATATGTAGGCCCTGCATATATATACATGTATATTGATATATTGATATTGTTGACAGAGAATGTATACAGGTAATACAGGGAAAGCCATTTTTAAAGTAACAGAAAGCCTCTGCCTTGTCTATCAGCATATAGAATGGAAGTACTTAACCTTTTCATCCATTAGTATCCTTACAAAATAGCAATTTTCTTTCCAAATTGAAAATATTCAGGTCCCTAGTGTTTGTTATGATGTACCCCATTATCCAAGGGTAATGAATCTGTCAGTAAACATAAGGCATCAAAATATTCAGGCAACACAGTCATTTTTTTCTTTAGGGGGAAGATGGATTGATCTGTTCTGAAATTAAAGTGATTACCTGTAATCACCCATGAATACATTATACTGTCGTAGAGCAATATATAATTAACAACTAAATTATTCATACCCTTACCAAGTTTTGTAATTTATTACATATGTGAAAAGTTGATTTGTTCAGATTGGTGTTTCTTGAGAATATGACATATTAAAGTTTACATCTAAACGTGTTCAACAAATGCCCTATTCGATCAGTACATCTTTATTTCTTGAATTACCAAAAACACAAAAAATATCAAATTTACAAGGGGTATGAATAATTTAGTTATTTTATTGTTCCTTTTTACACTTTGTTTTTAAAACATTGATAACGGTAATTCTATTTCAAAAACATGTAAATGTTGTGTTTGTTTGGTAAAATGGGCAGTGTAAGCTTTATACGCTTCCGGGTTTATCCCGCTGTTATATTGCAATTTCACAGTGTCTGCTATAACATAAATGATTTCATCAATGCTACTTCTAGGAGCAGGTGAACCTGTAGGCAAAAAGCATAAACACACTGAAGGTTGTATAGAAAAGGAAGCATGCAATTGTTGAACACAAGTTAGCTGTTTGTCAGCTGTATTGTATTGCCTAGCGTTTGAGGCGAAGTTAGTAGCTAGTCTGACAAAACAGACACTAATATCTCAGTCTAGACTTACAAGGAAACCAGGGTTATGTGAAATCGTATTCAGCGTCGATAAATCAGATCCTTTCACTGGCAAGGGTATGTTTCTGCAAACTAATGTAAGAATACATGTAGAAATGCTTCTTGGGTAAACAACTTCAGTCTACATAAACTTCAAAATAAACGTATTTAAACTTGATTATTAATACCCTTTATAAATTTTTTGTTATTTTGGTCTTGTTTGTAATCTAAGAATGAAAGGGGAACTGGTTGAACTAGGACATTTGTTCAATACTTTTTTTGGGGGGGGGGGGAGGGGGAGGGGGGGGGGGAGGGGGAGGGGGCATGGGAATTAGGCCCCCAAACCTAGAATTGCTACTGATAGTAGCTACATAAAAAAATTAAATTCTTTTTATTATTGAAGATACCCATGTATTTTTCACAGTCTTTTATCTTATCGACTCTTTTTTCGTTCATGTTTTCAGTTGCTGAAATGGGTGGGTCCAAAAACCTGGGTCTGCGGGTCCAGAAGAAGATGTTGGGCAAGATGACGTCCAAGAAGATCGCCAAGGTCTTCATCGACGACACCATGGGTGAACTCCTGGACAACGTCTACAAGCTGTGCAAGGAGTACAAGCAGAACAAGAAAGAGGCAGATAAACTCATCAAGAATATCATCAAGATCACGGTAAAGATCGGCATCCTCTACCGCAACGAACAGTTCAACGCCGAGGAGATCAAAATCGCCGAAGCTTTCAGGAGAAAGTTCCGGACCATGATCATGACATTCGTCAGTTTCTGCGAAGTGGATTACACGTTTGATAAGAACTTCATGGTAGGAGCGCTCAATGACTGCTCTCTGCTCCTCACCCAACTGGTGGTGAGACATCTGACGGATAAATCGCAAGGCAGGATAGACTATGTATTTGGTTTCTTCCAGGATGGCGCATTTATGGACTCACTTTTTGACCCAAACAGTCCTCTAAAACCAAACCTTTCAGTTATTGTAGTAGGACTCAACAAATTATTAGAAGAAGGAAGCATATAACCCCTTCGTCTTGGCCTTCTATCTTCCAAAGTCTTTTTTTTTTACATTTGATAGATTTTATCAAACTTGTATCATAAATGAAGAGGAAAAAATGTGCAAATTATTGACAGTGGAAGCTCAAAGTGACTCAACTCATACTTTGTTAGTGTTTTTGTTTGTTTGTTTGTTTTTATCTCGGGAACCACAGCAATCTTGTGCAGACTTTTTAACGCAATTTACAGTATGGACTCATGTGGAGGCTATGCATGTGAACATTCTGCTATTTTAGAGTACCCTCAGTTGGTGTGCTCTTCTGGGAGGAAGGACATAATGAAATATCTCTACATTACGGAAAAAGGATTTGCCTAAGTTACAATACACATGAGCAACAAATCGTTCCTTTGTTGTTTAACATCCCAATTAAATGAGCCTCGACCAGCAGGGACAGTGGATCATCATATTTTGATTGTGAAGCAAATTGCAGTGAATCAGGGAGCAGCTCTAGATTTATGGTATGGCAACGATTTAAGGATCTGATCTGCAGATCTTTGAAGTGGGAAACATTGACTTCGATGCCACCGATCAGTTGTAATATCCAGGAAAGCTGAAAGGGAATTTGATGGCTGAACGATCCGTAATTCACAGCTCTAATCATGCCTGAAGGGATGGGTAGTCTCTTGGTATCCTTATCTGGTTGCATTGCAGAAGTTCAACAGGACGATCTGGTAAAGAGGGAAATTGTGGAGTCAATCGTGTGTCAACACATGCAGCGGTTCTCAAAGGATACACATAACCCTTCCTAACGCAATGTTCACACCCTGTCAAATCAACTTTTTGGTAATGGTGTAGATAAGGGTCTGTGAAATTGGTGAGTACTTGGCACAAGGTAACGTACAATTGACGGTAAGATAAGTGTAATAGTCCAAAATTATTAAAAAAAGGTAGAAAACTGTCTTTTGTCTGTCCAATGACAGTTTAGCAGAATTACCGGTAGGAGTCATTTTGTTTAAGGAACTCCAGCACAACTCAGAATAGTTATGTATGCATCAAGGACATATTTTATGAATCGAAGTTGATGAACGAATTGAAATACAGTGTGTGTGCTCTAATACATGCAATTTTCTTTTTATAAAGAGATGAAAGTTCTCATGCAATTTCGTCTTAAAATGTATCCCTCAATCTTTCTCAGAAGGGATGGTGTATCCAATGTGTGTTGATGATCAAAAACATTCTTGCAAATATGATGGTAGTTTTTTTTTGTATAAACATCATGGGTATGTTGAATTCTTCAAATGAATGAATCTAGTAGTAAACATTTTTAGTGATGATGATAATGATTGAGAACAGTGCCTATACTTGTAGATACGTTTATGCCAGTCTATCAGAAAAGCTAGTGATCAAACTTTTTTATAACTAAAATGGCATTTTTTGATGATTATGATGATATAAAGTTATGGCTAAAGGGAAGTATTATCTCACGTTTTTTAAATTTATGGCCATTAGATGAATACAGCAGCTCTGATATTTAATAGCATTTAAAATGTAAAGACGTTACCTTCAGTTTTCTTTCGCTCTGGTGCAAAAGAAAGCTTGGCATAACGATTGAAAAGAACACTGGTATACATGTAACATCATTTGGGTTCAAAGTATTAGGGATTTAAAATATGGCAGTTCAGGGTGAAGAATTATATATTTACTTTTTTTTTTACTGGAAACTTCTTATCTCATATGTTGTTGTTAGAATAGAATGCTTATATTATAATTATAGATTCATTGTTTTTTTGCATTTTTTGCCTTTGCTCCTTGCCTCTAGTGTACAACAGCTGAAGCAGTCTTTTCTGAATATTTATAGCTAAAAAAGAGAAAATATTTATCCCTTTTTTTCATGTTACAATTCTTGTAGTGTTTCAATAGCAGCAGTGTTAATTGCTTGTATGGTATCGTATAGAGAAGATTGAGATCAACAGCGTAGATTAGAAATGCTGGTTGGGTGAGCATAAATAATTCAAGGAATTAGAAAGAACTTGGTGATGCTGTAGATTGGTATGATTTCCTCCACTGGCAATAGAAGTCACCATGATTTCATAGAATTTTACAACAATGATTTGACATTACCACAATGTTTTCTTTTTCATCTAAACCAATAATACAGGGAAAATCATTAAAGGGGGAATTTCCATTTAGTTGGTGTCCTGTCCCATCGCACGACTAAAAAAACACCTTCAATATATGAGTGGGTGTGTCACTGTACTAAGTATACAGTATATGAAACTTGGTCTAGGACTATATGTATGATACACAAGTTCTTAATATACATGTAGTACTTCATAAGAGGTATCAATGGTGCAATATCCCAAAACCTTTAACGAAAAAGCAATTCGAAAGTGACATTTTTTTTGGCGTTGAATAATCATTTGCAAAAAGATTTTTTTGTTACTGTTTCAATGAGCCTTTTTTCCCCAGAAGCCTTGTACTGTAATCTTATTGTTTCTCAAATGGTGGAACTACCTTTTATCTCATGTTGGATTATGTGGTTTTTTTGGTAATCCATTATGATCTTATGATGTACACATAATTAACCCTTTTAGTCTACAAAAAATGCATCAATTGATACCTTCTCCAAATAGTGTTCGTGATCCCAAATATATTCCATGTACACACATATTATCATTTATGTTGTGATTGTTTTTAATAATTTTTTTGTAAAGAGCCAAAGATGTCAGTACATGTTGATATCTGACATGTTTCTAGCATTTTTGATTTTTTGTTAAGGTATATTACTACTGTGTATTCCATAGTATATGGTAATAACTATTTCCCATGGAAATACATGTAGCAGGGAATAACCTTCTTCATTTTTTTACAAAGAGCTTCATAAATTAGGATAGGATTGGATAGGAAATAGGAACATTATTCATGTGTGCACAGACCCAATAGTTCTAATTATAAAAAAAAGATCCCTTTTAGGACTTTGTGTATTAAATTTACAGCATGTGTGACATGCATTTGGGTAAAGTGTAATCATTTTTATATTTTGTATGTATACGGTAAGTGCATTAGACAGGGTATATTTCTTGTTCATCATTCCATATATCATATAATTCCACTGAGTGGATAAAATCCTTCCTAATGCTTTGTCTCTTGCAGGGACATCTTGGGGTTAGGGGGAGGGGGTGCAACAGCCCACTTTCCCTATTCAAAATTGCTGTCAGCATATTTCAGAATTTTGATTTGATCCTTTGGCGACAAATGAAACATTTAGAATTTCTTTGCTTGCTTCCTTGTTTGCACTGTTCTCATATCCCTTGATTTCAACTATAGAAATCTGATGATCTTTCCTTTTCTATTTTGGAAACTTTGGATCAAAGCTTGTCTAAAAATTTCTCCAAATCCTCTTGCCAAATTTAAAATGGTATTACGCTTCCCCTCATCTTCCGTTATTAAACAATTTTCTCCTCGTCGTTGTATGCTCATTTTTTTTCTCAACTTAAGGATCAGCAAATATTATGACATTCCAAACAAGACTGTTTGTCCTCAAAAGCATTTCTATTCCCAAATTGCCTTTTATAATGGCCCTCTGGACATGCCAAGTTGCCAACATTAAGTGTGGCATGTATCTAGATGATGTCTCACAGCATCATTCGCAATTTTCCTCATCGTGTTAAATTACATCATTAAGATGCCGCTATGTTTGAAGACAAACAGCTTTCCAGCGATAATGCTATCATACTTGACTGTTCATCTTAATACACACTTCAATATTCTATGCCATCTTCTTAGGATCAGTCTAAGGATTCCTTTGTTTTGTCTCAGAGATGTTATTCTGGTATTACATGTAAGCTGGGTCATGTTTTATGAAAATGTCAATTTCCAGTTGTTTTTAGGAGACACAGATCTGATGAAATGTTGATTTTTCCCTGTATAGCCATTCACTATAACAGCCACGGTAATGAAACTCATGAAAGACATCAGGAAATAATACTTCAAAGACACCATATCATCTGTTGAGAGCCAGAAAGGAGTTGACTATGTGTTCAAGTTCTAGTATGTGAAGGCATTTAAACAAAAGGCATATAAACAAAATCAAACTACAGAGGGGGATTTCGTTGTTGCTACTGTTGGCGTGTGTTGTTGTCATGCAACGATCATCAAAACACCGGAATGTGAGAAAAATTCATGATTTTTGCATGAAGTGAGAATACAGCTACTGAAACCATAACTGAAACTGAACTGAAACTGAAAAAGATACTCTATGCATCTCTTTTTCATGGAAGTGTCATGCACTTTTTCCATTCTAGGAAACAAGAGCATGAAATGACCCTGATTTCATGGCGTGACTCGCTGACAACCCACAAGGCACCAACAGGAAAGACTTGGTACTAACCATATCAGGAGGAAAGAAGAGTTCTGGGAAATTAGGAGGATGTATAAATTTAGTAGGTTAAGGTATTGTTATTGTCAAATACATGTAGATTTAGAATTGGCAGGGCACTTTTAAGTCGAATATTTGGAGCTGATTGGGAGTTCAGGACTTCAGTTATCAAGTAAGGTTTCAGAGAAACATACTCACAGCACTACGACTAGAGTATCGTATATCATGCAGTAGTTTGGTTGTTAATTACCTCAGACGACATATCTGTGAAAAATAATAACAAGAAGAGAAAAATATAAAAAAATTGTCAGAAATACATTCATAGAAAAAACAAATCTTGTTTGCAAATGCATAGAGATGGCTGGCTCAATTTTTAATCATTTTTTAAATCTCATCATACATGTAGCTATCATATATTTTTTACCTTAATTGTTCAGGAGATATCCCTTATTTAAGTTTTTAACAATCAGTTTCAGTTTCATTTCATTCTTTAAGAACATATTTTTCAACTTCCCCAGCTCTAGATTACCTTGAAGGTTATAACTCTTAAGTAAATGTATGTATATCTGATACAATCCTCGCGTGCACACGCAATATTCAATTTCCAGTGGGCAACATTCATCATGGCTGTGAAAGATATCAAATTCCCAGCTAAAAAAACACATTACACAAACAATTTTAGATTTTGTGAATTATAGCTCAAGTCCCTATTAATTGTGCTAAAAATTTTAGATTTTGTTAAAGCCCTTGATGGTATTAATCAGAGAAAGAAAACGACCAGGATTACTTGCAATTTGCCTCCTAAGTTTTCAGATTAAAAGAAAAGGTGTCTCTGTGTAAGAACTTTCTGTTGATGGCATTGGCAATTGCCGTAGTTGTTGAGCAGGAGTTTGATTGCTAAGTAAATGTAGACCAGTCCTCAAATATAGAAGTCCAGTATAGTTTAGCCCCAGTATCTCAGATGTTCTCTTTATTTAGGTTAAGGTAGATATTCTAATGAATTTCATTCGGATAATTGCATCCCTCAATTATATTCCATATATGTATGTTCATACTTAATATTGGATTGTTTCAAATAATCCTGGATCAAAATAGACCATTTACGTTTCTTGATGAGCATACATGTATGACCCTATTTGGGCGTCATACTTTCCTGCTGATTGCCTTTGTACTTTGATTGAAATTTGGCAACATTTGACCCACCCAAGCATAGATTTCCATTTATACATCAAAGTCTACATTCTTTGTCTATTCTATTTCAAGCAGGAGTGATTTTTTATAAATCTCTTGTCATCCAATTTGCTCTAAATAGCTTGCAGCATTCATCAATTTCACCCCAGTTCATCAAGTTTTAGCCCCTTGCATGGCGAAGTCTAAGCTAATTTCCAAAACCACTTTAAAGGAGAATCACCTCAGCGACCAAAGAAGCTCAATCTTAGGTTGGAGCCCCTCTAACCTTCCCCTGTAAAGCTGACAGCTATAACAATGGATGGGACTGAAGTGGGATGTCAGTGATGTATTACCAAGTAACGAGTTTAATGCTCCCTACCTATTTTCAGCAATTTGTATGGTGACAGGAGGAAGTGGAGGGGGGTATTTATCATGTAATTGCACCAAGAATTAAACTTCTTACTAAAAAAAATTCTAATTTAATTTCCGGGTCCATAAAAGTGAACAAGCCATTGTTCGACTTTCAGATACAGTTTCTCAAGGAAAAGCGAGCCATGCGTGAGGTCAGATTGCAGTAAATAGCACTGTACTTTTAGCTAAATTGGAGCAGAACATATACAAAATAGGAAATGGTGTGTTACATGTATTGTAGGCACTCAATTTAGGATTATCCCATCAATTTGTCTATTAAAACAAGTTCATATTATCTCATCGAAGTAGTACAATGTTATGGTACTATTTGGAGAAGTATTTTTGATAAAAGATTTCCATTCTGTGGTGCACAAGCTGTCATATAAAGTGTTCAATTGCATGTTGTTTAAATGTCGGACAAAAACAAGTACATGTAATTTCAAGCTTTGGTACAAAGCATGAAAGCTATAAAAAAAAGTATCTGCAGAATCCCTAACAATAAAATCTTCTGAAGATATAGATATTGAAAAAGATACTATCAGCACTGATTATTTTTTAAAGCTTTCTATAAGTGTCCCGAGAGACTCACATAAGTTTCATTGATATTGGATTGGCATAAATTACTTGTCTTTTAGAATGTTTTTTAATTGTTTCCATCCAAGAGTTTTAAGGTGGATAATGTGTATAACTAAAGTCGGTCATTGAACCTCCGTTGTAAAGATGGGATGATGCATATCTACAATGCTATCAACCGTGGTACTTACAATATTTCCTCTCTCTCTGCTGTTCAAGGCAATTTGTAGTTTTTAATT